TACAGATCAACTGACATCTACTGCCCGATACATTAAAGGCTTTAAGCCTGTCGACCGTTTCTTGATGTCCGTACACATCTTTCCTCGTGGAGCAAAGAATATAACAGATACTCTTGTGGGTTTTTATAAGAAGAAAATTCCACAATCAGTCTACTCTGGCCAGTCATACGATAAAGCTTCAAAAACGTTTTTTTTAATGGTTTGCCAGATTAAATCGTGTGTGTTTTACTGACTGAGTACACTTTATATGGATTCGGCATTCACTTGAAGTATCCAGCGTATCTGACTCAGTCTGTGACTGGAATCACTGGCATAGGCGGTTGGGCAATTATAGGCCAAGTTCGTTTGCTGTGATACTGGAAACGTAACGACTAACTAACTAAGTGAAGAAAATACTTGATTGCAACACACTTATTCATTGACTAAATTAGTTACCAACCATTTACACCCCCCCCCCCCTCTCCCCCCTTTTCCGCGTGATGAAGAGATCATGAACTTGATGGGAGTAAAAGCAGCAGAAGGGCTGTGTACACTATGTAAAATTCTGTGACTTTGTTTAGCATCTGTATTTATTTTTTTTTTTTTTTTACTTTGGTGCTACTTATTAGTGGAGATCGTCTTTTGGAAAAGGTTTTGCGATCAAGCATGTCAGACACACGATGGTCGGCACATGCTGATGCTGTGCATCAAGATAATAAAACGGCCAGTGAATACAAGTAGAGAGGCTGAGGGATTAAGCAAATTAATGAGAAACCTGGAAACAATATTTGTTAGTTATTTTGAACCATATGCTACAAAGAAATAATGTTGAATGTTGAATTAAAAATCGATATCACAGCACTTGGGACACCACCATAAGCGCTCCGTCCCTGGCTTCAGCAGCAAGTGAATAGTTCCAATACCGATGTCCCAGTAATGGTGAGTGTACATCCGTCTCGCCTTTCCCCTGAGTGTTCAGCGATGGGAAAAAACAGGCACGACCAGGAATTCTGTGTCTTCGTTTACATGTGAACGATCAACAACAAAAACGAATCAATAAACTCTTTGAACTAACAAACAGAGGCTTTTCACAGAACGCCTTCAGTGATTTGATAACCGTTGCGTCTAATGCATTAAAGAAACAAGTGTGAACATCTGGCTAAAATGTATCACAAAGACCTTTGACGAGGGAAGGCATCGTTTGAACCTGTTTCCTCTCTCACAAGCATGGGAAATGACATCTTGGAGACAACAGAATTGAAGTCGAGAATAAAGCGATCTTTCGTACACACGTGGTATCGCCACACACACAGGCGCGCGCATGCACGCACGCACATATTACCCACCCACGCACGTACGTACGCGCTCGCGCACACACGTACACAAGAGAAAGTGGCTATATTGCCTTCAAAAGTCGTGACTTCAAACGTTTAACAAATATCTCGTAGCCTCCTGTGCGACTCAAACACGAATTTGTTTTGTATTACTTCAGTCATCCCCTTGTGGGGTGCAATTTTTCGTTATTTTGAAGCCCCACCCTGGCTCTCTCCAGGGGCCGCAATATAGCCCGACTATTATATGGCCTAATGGCTGAACGCGGACTCTGGTACCTCTCCACGGTGATCCTCATCCCTGTTGGCATTTTGTGTCATCGGGTGTTGATCGCTTGTGTGATGTCCTGGTGGGGTAAAAGTACTACTACTACTACTACTACTACTACTACTACTACTACTACTACTACTACTACTACTACTACTACTACTACTACTACTACTACTACTACTACTACTACTACTACTACTACTACTACTACTACTACTACTACTACTACTACTACTACTACTACTACTACTACTACTACTACTACTACTACTACTACTACTTTTACTACTACTACTACTACTACTACTACTACTACTACTACTACTACTACTACTACTACTACTACTACTACTACTACTACTACTACTTCTACTACTTTTACTACTACTACTTCTACTGCTACTACTACTACTACTACTACTACTACTACTACTACTACTACTACTACTACTACTAATACTACTACTACTACTACTACTACGAATTTGTGCACGTGGCCTTAGACTTCACGCGTTGTTATTTCTTATGATTTTGTAATTTGAAATTACGCGAGCGCTGCTGTTTTCACAAGGCGGTTAATTTCTGTGATCTTTGTCAAACTAATAATTTGTGCATCCCTTTAAATCATAGACGGCGTCCTTGGCTAAGGCGTTGCGAGTCCGACTCGTAATACCAAACTACCGCGATCGAAACATACTGCTGGCCGCATGGATTTTTATCATGGTATGAGGCGTCGCAGGTTGACCCAGCCCAAAATGTACCTTGATTTTTAGCACGGACAACCTCTAAAACGTGTGCCTTTTGATGCTTTGCATACTAAACTATCCAGTCATCTCCTTGTGAGATGCAATTTTTCGTTATTTGAAGCCCTACTCTGGCTCTTGCCAGGGGCCGCAATATAGCCCGACCATTAATATGGTCTAATGGCTGAACGCGGTTTCTGGGACCTCTCCACGGTGATCCTCATTCACATAGTGGCACTTTGTGTCAACGGATGTTTATCGCTTGTGTGATGTCCTAGTGGGGTAACAATTTTAACTAATCTAAAAAAAAAAAAGCTTTGCATACTTCCCGTCACCCCATAAGCTGTAAACATGCTAACTGTATGCTTTATATCTATGTCTGTGTTTGCGTGGACACCAACCCCCCCCCCCCCCCCCCCCCGCCCCCAATATACCGCAAAGAAGGCAAAATAAACACTAGATGTTTGTTTACAGTATAATTATTTCGATACCGGGACATTATTACAAACAGGTTGTATGCCAAATTTCAACAATTTTCACCGAGTAGATTTAGTTACTGTATTGTTGTGTACACGGAATCAGATGCAAGATAAATTAAATATACTTGATGCGAGATCACAGCAGCTTGGTTTTAAAATCCATAAAGGAAAAACAAAGATAATGAGAATAAATCAGGCAAATAGTAATGTGGTTTCTGTTAATGGCACCCCACTCCAAGACGTGGAGTCGTACACCTATTTAGGCAGTAATGTAGATAAAGATGGAGGAACTGACAGAGATATTAAAATAAGAATACAAAAGGCAAGAGGAGCTTTCATAGCACTAGGGAATTTGTGGAGGTCAAAAGAAATTAAAAGAAATACCAAACTAAAAATGTTTAATTCTAATGTCAAATCAGTACTTTTGTATGGGGCGGAAACATGGAGAACAACTAAGGCAATTACTAAAAAATTACAGATATTCATTAACTGGTGCCTGCGCAGAATAGATGGAATTAAATGGTATGATAGAATAACTAATGTATAGCTTCGGAAGAGAACTAAACAGGCGCCAGTGGAACAAGAGGTGAGGAAAAGACGCTGGCGTTGGATAAGACACACACTGAGAAAACAGGAGAACAGCATAACTAGAATGGCTTTGCATTAGAACCCGCACGGGCATCGGAATCAAGGAAGGCCAAAAAACACATGGAGAAGAGAGCTGGAGAATGAAGTTAGGAAGATGGGAAGGACATGGGGAGAGCTCCATGTAATGGTGAAGGATAGAACGACTTGGCGTGAGTTGGTTGAGGGCCTATGCTCCATTGGGGGATAGAAAGGCAGAAGAAGAAGTTACTATGTTATAGATTTTCTACAATTTGGACACGACCTTTGGAACAGTCTACAGCACACTGTGTGTTTATTTATATTCTCCGGAAAGTTCTGCTTGTTCGTCCATTTTTATGCCAAGAACTGAGTTGTGTGTGTGTGTGTGTGTGTGTGTGGGCATCCGTTTTACTGGCTCATTTTTGTGCACTATGTTGTTTTTTGCCTCTCGGAAACATGTGCGCCGACTTAGAATGAAGCTGGCTGACGATTAATTGCAGCTTTGCTTTCCGAGACAGTTTCCCAGAATAGGTATAACGGCTTGGGACCCAGTTTAGGAGGCCAGGTCTACGTTATTGACTTTGAAAAAGTAATCTAGTATTTTTGTGTTGTTTCACTGGTGCATTTTCTATGAGTATCAACGGGGGATAGTCGCTAGTTATGGAGCTTGTTCTTAGTGCGACGCTCTCCTTCTTCTTATTTTCTTCTTCCTCTTCCTGCGCCAGCTCCTACCTCTTATTGACATACTTATGTTTCAGTAACTAATGTTTATCTGTTTCACATCCTCAGGCCAATCCCAATCCACCTGCCAAGACATGCAGGACCTGACCCGTTCAGGTACCAGTTTCCAGTTTTCCCAGACGAGCCAGAAAAACCGTTCAGGTCTATATGGAATCCAGCCTACGACCTCTGCTTTCCCCGCAAAGAGAGCGACATTAAACATCTCGCATCTTTATCCGCAAAGACAGATTCAATAACCTCAAGCATATCCTCAAATGCTCTGTTATCTTCGCTACCTACAAACGTGAAAACTGCCCCAGTGATTTCAGCTGTCCCGGTGACTTCAGTCTTCAAGTCGCTAAAAAGGGCAATGCCCTCTGCGCCCTCTTCTGTAAAAACACAAGCGACCGTTAATAATGTACGCCCACAGCAGACGATGCGACCTTTACTAAACAGTCAGGTGAATCCACTTACATATTTCACATCCAAAAGAGATTTATTTCCAGTTATACTTCAAGCTTCAAGATCTGCTAATAATGACTCAATACATCCCACAATGGCCAGGCAGTTGGAAAAGTCAATAGGTGAAAATCATAAGTTTGTACATAATGCGATGACTCAATCCCAGTTCAAGGTTTTAATGGAACGACCTGCTTCTAGTCATCCGAAGATCCTCAAAGAATCTAGAAGCCAGCAGGATCAGTTGGATTCAAGGCATCTCCCTAACCAACAACAAGCCCCAAGCTTACAACACAACAATATGCCTCAAGTTCAGTCTTTCATTCCATTCCAAGACATGCCTATGGCCCTACAAAATATCTTTACTCTCGCTCCGTCTCCAACACTTCTAGGGTGTCTCAACGCTAGTCAGATGGTGTTTCCAGTTAACTCTCATGACACTTCAGCGAACCAGGGTTACGGTAGAAAACTCTTCCCCTGTCTCCACTGCCGATACACCACAGATCGTAGAAACAACCTCAAACGCCACATGCTGACAATGCACCAGACAAGCGCTAGGATGCTGGAATGCTGTGGTATTATTTTCAATACAAAAGCTTTATTGCGGGAACACGCCATGGTCTTCCATTATCACGGCTACACCTGTTATTTTTGTGGGCGCCGCTTTTGCAGAAAGGCTTTGCTCAAAAGACATTTGTCGGTCCACAACGGACAGAAAGATTTTATTTGCGACGTCTGCGACTACGCTACGTCTCATAAAAGTAATCTGGAGCGTCACAGAAAGGTCCATTCTCGACAAGACGACGGGAAAGAGGGCGAGGATGGAGGGCGTTACCATGGAGATGATACCCAGCTTTACCATGACGACGGTCGGTCGAATGGAAGCGAGGCTGTGAGTCATGATGACGTCAGCGGTGATGAGCTTTCAGTATGCTCTGATTATGAAGACGATGATGATGATACGGACGTTGAAATCAACGTTCATAGCGATTAACATAAGAATCTGACAAATTACATTTGATGAACCTATGTTGTGACTACATATACAAACTTAAAACCAGTCAACATAACAGAGATCTTTTGCCAGTGATCGTAGACTGACATTGTTACCAGAAAGATTATGTATATATAAAATATACATGCGTGTCTGTTATTGTAAGCAAATTACAGGATTTAATTCTTAGTCTACAGCAAAATGTTAAAGTTGCCCCCGTTTTAGACTAAAAATTAAACAAAAAGCCACTTGTAGTTGTAAGTGGACTCTTGAACTTGATACATTAAACAAAATTAGAAGCTGTTCTTTACAACATGTGTTTGATTAGGATTAGAATGTGTGGTCGGACAGAAGGTTTTTCGAAGTTGGAGTTCATCTGCATGAGAGGCAAGGAATCAACAATATGGATACAAATAAACCAGATATGTTAAACGGAATGCAGACAACACTCAACTTCTGGAATAGGACTGCTGTCCAGAAGTTTACAACCGATCAACTCGACAACAAAATAAAAACAAAAAAAAAAAGAAGAAAAATGTTTGGTCGTTTGGACACACACAACAGACTGCACAATTTATTGCCTGGCATATTTCGCTATATCTCGTCAGGTACATACTACAGTAACAATTTATTAAAATGAAGCAAATAACTGAATCCTAGAAACTGAAACATAAATTTGACTACATTCTTGTACTGTCTGTTTCAACAAGGTAACCGTAAGGCAACGACTGAATGGACTGTAGTATGTACCTGACGAGATACAGCGAAATATGCCGGGCACTAAATTATGCAATCTATTGTTTGTAACGTCTTTGTTCAAATTTACAAAGGGTGGGGGGGGGGCATATTGTCGTTGAGCCCCTTAAGTGGCTATGGTTGGATGTGCAGTGTTTGGTCATCCTGTGAAAGCAATGTTGAATTCTTCTTCTTCTTCTTCTTCTCGTTCACCGGCTGTAAACTCCGGCGGAAAGTTCTGATTGTTCGTCCACTTCTGGACTGTAGTCCTGTTCCAGAACCTGAGGGTTGCGTGTGCATCCGTTTGACAGATCTGTATGCAGACTGTTGGTTCCTTGCCTCTCAGACAGATGCACTCCGACTTCGAAGGAAGATCCCAATTAGTGTTGAATTGACTGATATCTTGTATGTGACCCATCTGGTCACCCTAAACGTTTATGTCTCTGGTGCATTGACGGAAGAAACAGCTGTTGGAACCAATAAACATTTCGTATCTAAACAGCGGTATGGTGGTTCTATCGTTCCTCGTTTTGTGTTTAACATGATGTTGAACTATCTGTCAGTGTGCCTGAGAAGGCTGCCTGCGACTAGAGCCTGAGAGAGTCGTTGCAATAGGGTTCTGACGAGTTCAGACATCTTTCTGATGTACAGAACAGTGTCCTCAAACCAGTGCCATTACAACTTTCAGGGTCACCAGAGTGTTTTCGGCGAACACTTTAGCTACTGCAATAACAGAATCCATAAATCTCCCGAGATCCACCTTGTCTATCTAATGAGGTCTAATTAACCCAAGGAACATAATGCCCAATATAGCTTTATCTCATATCTTTTAGTTACAGCCCTTGCCTTCTATGTCTTTTTTATGGCTAGTATTTTTTTCCTGTAATCACATGTGCCCCAGAGCTTCAACTGGCCAGACATGTGTGCATTTTTCTTGGAGAGACCTTAGTTAAGTTATTTTATGTGTACCTGTGTGTAAATATCACAGTGCATATTGATGCCAAGGGTTGATGAAGGTTTTCTAGCCGTAAAGTTTACTTGCTGGTTGTGGCTGTAATAATATGAAGCTGAATATTTCTTTTATTCGTCTGGTTTAAGGTCTGTTCATGCTATCTCGATGCAAGGTAGGTTATGCAGTCCCATCTGGGTGTTTCAGCTGTCACGAAATCGTCTTCTCCTTCTCCTCCTTCGCATTATTATTATTATTATTAATAATATTATTATTATTTTTATTATTATTATTATTATACTTAACTTAGTCGACCCTCTTTTATCTTGGGGTGTAGAGGTTAGCCAGAGAGAGATCGTCACACTTCTCTATCGCCTTTTTGTGGCTCTCCCTAAACCCAGCATAATTAGTGTGACTAAGTTTGTCCAATCAGCATGCAAACATTAATCCCGTCTATTCGCGTGTTCTGTTCATCTAAAAGTAATTGTGTCTTTCAAACATGAAACCTCATTGCTTTCTAATAACGTGTCTGGGTACTTTCTTATTAGCAGACCACAAACAGGGGACAGTCAAATATTTCAGGAGGTGATAGATTAGGCGTATAGTTGTGGTTAGGGTTAGGGTTAGGTTGCGAAAACCTTGGCCTTAGAAGAAACGCGCTAAAGCAAAGAAAACAAGGAGAACCTACCCTTTCAACCCTCTAAGATACTGGACTGTTCCGAAACGCCATTTGTGCCGTGTCTGTGGATTTCAAGCTGTACGATAGACATGGCCAATAAGACACCCTTTTTTTTGGGGGGAGGGGGGGGGGTGCCTAGTTGACCATGTTCTTAGTGCACTTGTATTCATGGCGAGGCGCAGACGCCGTCTGGAGGTGACAGGTTCAATTCCCGGCACGGTAACTATAGCTTCCGATTTTTATGTTGTCTAGTGTGTTCTTCTATCTTTCTACTTATTTCTATGAGTGCCGATCAATACATTTTCTGTTACTTAATTAATTCTGAAATTGACAGAGATAAGTGTGGAAAGGAAGGGAAACACTAATGATTATCCTAGCTTGGCTAGTTCATTATTTTATTGGTGTTTATATATTTATTTCCTTCTTTTGTATTCTTCTTTTTAGTTTTCCTACTTTACTATCATTGCTGGGTTTTTTCCTAGTTGAAATACTAATATATATATATATATATATATATATATATATATATATATATATATATATATATATATATATATATATATATATACATCATAAACCACTTCTGCCGTTAAGCGGCGTGGGGAGGAATAATTTGCGTTCCAGTGCACGTTGGCTGCCACTGGCTATTGTCATGCCGTGAAGGCGTAGAGTGTCTTTAATGTTGTCGATCCATGTTTTCCGCGGCCGTCCTCTTGCTCTTGTAGCTGATCTTCTGAGATGTAGTGCTTGGGATGGTATTTGATCTTGCTGCATTCTAACGAGATGGCCAAACCACTTGATCTGCTGTTTCTCGATGAATCTAGTACAAGGTGTCGTTCCCACAATTTGCCTGATAGTTTCAATATTCACTCGATCTCGTATGGTTAGGTATATATATATATATATATATATATATATATATATATATATATATATATTTATATATATATATATATATATCGGGTGTTAATTAATATCCATGTCTAACGCGTTGTTAAATGTGTTGAAAAGTTCAAACTTGGTTGTTCGTTCTTGTGACTGCTTCTTCTGGCTTACTATATATATATATAATGTGTGTGTAAGTGTTTGTGTGTGTATTGCGTTATTATTCTCGGATCTTTACCACCAAAGTTGAAGATTTTCTAAATTCTAATAATGTCTTCCTGATTTAGTTTTTTTTAATCATTCTATAAAAGATATATTCAGAAGGTAATCAGTCTGCCAGAAAGGTTGCTAGGGTAAATATCGGGAGCCTCGGTATCACAGTGAAAGCACTGATGGGAATCTCTCTGTAAATTAATGGGGCACTATGAAATCCCACAGAAAATTATTAATCTAGTAAAAGCAACATATAAAGACATGTCGAGCTCTTTATGGAGACAGCTAACAGATACATTATAAATCAAAATATGTGTGCGACAGGGTTATCTTTTGACGCCTCTCCTATTTTTACTGGCAATAGACTGGATTATGAAGACAGCAAAAATCCAGTGGACCCATACAAAACAGCTCTATTATCCGCACTTCGCTGATATTTCTCGCCTGTGCCACTCAGGAAATCAAAGGCAAGATAAATAGAAAATACCTTTTGCGAGATCACAACAGCGGGGTCTGAAAATATACAAGGTCAAGACAAAGATCATAAGATTAAATCAGACAAATAGTAATGTGGTTTCTCTTAACGGTATCCTACTCCAAGACGTGGAGTCGGACCCCTATTTGGGCAGTAATCTAGATAAAGATGAGGTAACTTATAGAGATATAAAAAATATATATATAGACAAAAGGCAAGAGGAGCTTTCGCACCACTATGGAATCTGTGCAGGTTAAAAGAAATTAAAAATAATATACACTTAAAATTTTAAATTTCAAAGTAAATCAGTACTGTTGTATGGAGCGGAAACATGAAGAACAACTAAGTCAGTTACTAATAAACTATAAACATTCATTAACTGGTGCCAAAATAGACGGGATTAAATGGTATTATTCAATCACTTTGGAAGAGAAGTAAACAAGTTCAAATGAACCGACAGGTGAGGAAAAGACGTTGGCGTTGGCTAGGACACACGCTGAGAAAACCTGAGAACAATATAACTGGAATGTCTTTGCATTGGAACCCACAGGGGCATCGAAACAAAGGAAGACAAAGAAACAGGCGAAAAAGGAAGCTAGAGAGCAAAGTTAAAAAAAAATGGGGAGGACATGAGGAGAGTTGCCTGCGATAGCCAAGGATAGAACTCTGTGTGAGTTGGTGGAGGGCCTTTGCTCCAGTGGGTGCTGGAAAGTCAGAAAAAGATATACAGAGGGTTTTCACATACGGTTATGAATCCCCGACAATTATTCATCATCATCAGATGCCTTGCCGACTGGCGTGGGCGATCATGCCTCTCCATAATCTGCGATCTCCTTCAGCATGTATCAGTTCGTGTGCCAACACACCTCCATGCCATGCAACAAGACTGTCAAGCATCTTCTCTCGTTGTCTTCCTCTATTCCCTTTTTCCACAGATCTTTCCAGTGGTCAAACATGTTCTATTTTCCCTCTTCTCATAACATGCCCGAAAAATGATGACTGTCTCCTTCTGATGGGACAATTATTAAAAAGGTCAAACAATTTCTTGAGGTCTCGGAGATGTG